ATTTTCTCACTGTTTCCTCCAGCTGTGACTCAAAACCGTTTTTTTTTTCCCTTGCTCCACAAAACAATGTTATTTTGTTCAGTCAGGTGCGAGAACAAACTCCTCGACTTGACGCAGAGACGCTTTAACTCTTGGAAAACAAAAGTTAATCTGGTTAATCAGTCTGAAGAACTTCCTGTTCAAACATTTACACAACAGTTATAATTTGACAAATAAATGTGAGATGATCAGGACTAAACCAGGATTAAATCAGGACTAGATCAGGATTAAACCAGGACTAAAAACCAGGACTAGATCAGGACTAAAACCAGGACTAAAAACAGGACTAAATCAGGACTAAACCAGGACAAATTAAACAGGACTTATAGATCAGGATAAAAACTAACTGAACCAGAACTAAACCAGGACTAGATCAGGACTAAACCAGGACTGAACCAAGACTAGATCAAGACTAGAACAGGACCAATTCTAAATCTGGACTAAATTTTGGGGTACAGGATTACATTCATACCATACACCACCTAAAAACAACTGAGATAATACTCCCTACAACTGAAGAAAGAAAAATGTAATGAAACAAAACTGGGAAAAAGTTTGAAATATTTTATTATTTGCTTTAGTTTTTAGCAGCAAAAATAAAACACAAATCCAAATATTCCCCAAATTCACATAATAAAAATACAAATATCAAAATATACAACATTTAAATTTAAAAATAAATAACTTTTCGGTCCTTTGAAATACCAAAATTAACCATGAGTCATTAAAATACATTTAGATTGGAAAAATAATCGTAATAAATTTGTATTTGACTTCCTGGGGTATTAAGAGGCGTATTTGACTTCCGTGGGGTATTAAAGAGGGGTATTTGACTTCTCTGGGGTATTAAAGAGGAGTATTTGACTTCTGTGGGGTATTAAAGAGGAGTATTTGACTTCTTGTGGGGTATTAAAGAGGGGTATTTGACTTGTGGGTATTAAAGAGTATTGACTTTGTGGGGTATTAAAGAGGGTATTTGACTTCCGTGGGGTATTTATTTTGACTTCGGGGGTATTAAGAGGTATATTTGACTTCCGTGGGGTATTAAAGAGGGGTATTTGACTTCTGTGGGGTATTAAAGAGGGGTATTGACTTCCGTGGGGTATTAAAGAAGGGGTATTTGACTTCTGTGGGGTAATTAAAGAGGAGTATTGACTTCTGTGGGGTATTATTAAAGAGGGGTATTTGACTACTGTGGGGTATTAAGAGGAGTATTTGACTTCTGTGGGGTATTAAAGAGGGGTATTTGACTTCGTGGGGTATTAAAGAGGGGTATTTGACTACTGTGGGGTATTAAAGAGGGGTATTTGACTTCCTGGGGTATTAAAGAGGAGTATTAAATATTTGGTGGGGTATTAAAGAGGATATTTGACTTCTGTGGGGTATTAAAGGTATTTGACTTCCTGGGGTATTAAAGAGGAGTATTTGACTTCTGTGGGGTATTAAAGAGGGGTATTTGACTTCCGTGGGGTATTAAAGAGGAGTATTTGACTTCCGTGGGGTATTAAAGAGGGGTATTTGACTTCTGTGGGGTATTAAAGAGGGGTATTTGACTTCCGTGGGGTATTAAAGAGGGGTATTTGACTTCTGTGGGGTATTAAAGAGGGGTATTTGACTTCTGTGGGGTATTAAAGAGGGGTATTTGACTTCTGTGGGGTATTAAGAGGTATTTGACTTCTGTGGGGTATTAAAGAGGGGTATTTGACTTCTGTGGGGTATTAAAGAGGGGTATTTGACTTCTGTGGGGTATTAAAGAGGGGTATTTGACTTCGGTGGGGTATTAAAGAGGAGTATTTGACTTCTGTGGGGTATTAAATGTGTAATATTTAGATCACCAGGTTTATTTTTTTGTTTTGAAAATCCTATATTCACCCAAAACAGCGTATATATTAACATGTTTTATAAATTTAATTTTCTTTTATGACGCTCCCTCCTCTTGCTCTCTGTGCTAAGTCACTCCCCCTTCAGAGCACAATCAGCGTGCGTCCCACTAATGAAAAACTCCTGCACATCACATCATTTAAAGATTTTTATTTATTTTATTTTTTTTATTCATGAAAGGAGCAAGACGAGCAAAGACGAAGCAAATAACGGTAGAAATATTTATGTTAATTGTCAGATTTTTTTGTTGTTGTTCTCTTTAAATTGATGCCAACAAAATTAAAACATGAGCAATGAATAAAAAAATTTTAAAAAAAGGTTTGTCAAGTTGCTGTGTACAGTTTTGTATTTTTAAAATGTTTTTATTTATTTATTTTTATGGAGATTTGTCGTGTGGGAGCATGGGGGACATAGGCTTGTGAGTTTGAATAGGGTCTGGGAGAGATCACTAAATTACTCAAACATGCATGGATGACCTAAAACCTCCAAAGCTCCAAAAAAAAAAAAAAGATCTAAAATTTTACATAATACCCCGTCTTTAATATAGAAGTATTTATATAAAAAATACTAAAAAACAAAATTCTTTGGCAGTTCACGCTTTATCTTTATCAGCACTTTTCGGTCCAGAGCGATGAAAAAAATGAATGCTGTTGCCATAGCGATTAACAAATCAAAATAACATCGTTTGAATAGTAAAAAAAAAAGTCCTCAAAATGGCAGCTAAGGCATTGAGCTGGAGACGGTGGAGTTTTCTGTGTAACTGTCGGATTACAAATATGTTGACCCGGTTTATGGTTCATTTCTCTGTAATTTTTTAAGCTGCATTTTATGTTTACTTGGGTTTGTTTAAAGGTTGTATAGAGGATTTTCCAAGGAACAGAAATCCAGCGACTGTTTGTCCTTTTTCAAATGTTGCTCCTGCGTGAAACCACCTCCCCTCCCCTACAGCTCCTACGTAGAAACACCTCCTCCCTCCTCCTCCTTACGCCACAAACAGGTTTGTTTACAGCCGCTGCACATGACTTGTAAACAACTAACTACAGTGTTGGTTAGACAAGACGGAGAAGTGAGGAGCGGGGGAGCGGGTGTGCGGATATTTCGTTAGCGGACGAGAAGTGAGGAGCAGGGAGAAGAGGAGCAGGGAAGAGGAGAGGAGAGAGGAGAGCGGGTGCGCGGAGATTCCGTGCCCGGAGAAGTGAGGAGCAGGGGGAAGAGTGGATCGGGCAGCGGGGACAGGAGCAGGAAAGGGGAGCAGAGAAGGTTGCGCGGAGATTCAGTGCGAATGAACTAACTACAACACGCAGCAGCAAGCGACTCTTTCTTTGCCTTGAAAATTAAGTTTTCAGACATAGGATATCACTTTTGTGTTCTGAAAAACGTTTGTCTAACTCTTGGAAATAAAGTACGTTTTCATAATAAGCAGAAGTTTCCTGTCCAGGAGTAATTTGTGGACCAGTGGTTCAGTCTTTAGACCCTTCGTCTGCTTCAGTCGCGCCATCGCTGGAATGAATCTCCAAGAATCACCTTAGTTTGGCTTCGCTGCTTTTCCCCTTGTCTTCTTCTTTCACCTCAAAAACGGACTTTTTGTGGCGAACTGCTCCTGGATTCTTGTCGCCATCGCAACAAACTTTGTGCGAACTGCGAGGAAGATATAGGTCAAAAAAGCCGCTAAGAACTGTTGTGTTGGTGGAGTAAACAGCGTCTGTGCGTCTTGCGTCTGTGGACTGTGTGACAGTCGTACATAAACCACGTACCGGCGGCGCAGGCAAGTCAGTTACTATAGAAACGTAGGGAGATTGATTGACAGCCTGTCAGCTCACAGATAACGAGGCAGTGTCGTTATCTATTGGCAAATGTTTAGCCCCACCACGTCCAGAGTTGATGAATTTTTATTCTCTTTTTTTTGGTCATCATAATTACAAGGCGACTGCATCTATAATCTATCACTGACAATTTGAAACAAAAACAAAACAAAAAAAAATCCTCCATACAACCTTTAATATTTAAATTTGTTTGATGATCTGAAAGTGTGACATGTAAAAAAGTAAAATCGGGACTTTTTCCTCAGCACTTCACATCCACATACATAATTAAACACTCGTACAAATTTCCACAGAATCTACCGTTTGTCTTCAGGAAAGTCTTCAGTAGTTCTTCTTCTTCTTGGCATTTTAATAACCCTTAAAAATAATAAATACTGTGCACCAAAGACACAAACTTAATTAAACCCATTTTAGCTGCTGCACATTCAAAAAAGTCCATCTGCGATTTCATCAGAGGAGGGAAATACAGAGGCTTTGCACCGTCACATGACCCTACAGCAACGGTACCTACGCCGCCATGACACCCGGGACACACTATGTCAATGACTTCAGCAGCATCGGAGAAACATGGGCAGGTTTTGTTGTGTATTTGGTTGTTCTAGACGCTCTGAACGGGATAAAATTAATCGTTTCTTCACTGTTCCTCTGGAAATGACTCATCAGGATCAAACAAGGGAATTATCGAAAAAAAGACGCAGATTATAGCTAAAATTATAGCAAAAATAAACCACGAAGAGATTTCCAATGGTCCCATCAAGACACCTGAAGTTTCATCAAGGTATTTGCTATTTAAATTGTTTCATAGTTTATTTAATGAAAGAAGCACATTTTCTTAACTAAAATTTCATTAATTTATCCAGGAAAACTCGCACTAGTTTATGATTCAACGAACCCACACTGGCTCCTGTGATCAACATGACGCACGAGTCGAAGAGTCTGTGAGCCGAACCTCCAAAGAATCGACCATGAAAAGATCCTCGCGACGTTAGAAAGATCCACTCACAAAAAGAGATTAATTCTAGAAGACACAGTTGGATAAACGAGACAATAAAGAAAACCTGGTCCTACGACGAGTGACATGTTTATATGTGCTGGAAGATACAGTTTCTACTCACACTCACACTGCAAATGTTTACTTTTTACATTTTAGTTCAGTAAATGTGCTTCTCTCATTAAATAAACTATGAAACAATTTAAACAGCAAATACCCTGATGATAGTGACGTGAGTGTGTCTTGATGGGACCATTTAAAATCTCTTCGTGGTTTATGTTCTCTAGACATATTCCCTTTTTTTTCGATAATTCCCTTGTTTGATCCTGATGAGTCATTTCCAGAGGAACAGTGCACAAACGAATAATTTTATCCCTTCCAGAGCGTCTAGAACAACCAAATACACAACAAAACCTGCCCATGTTTCTCCGATGCTGCTGAAGTCAATGACATAGTGTTGCCCGGTGTCATGGCGCCGTAGTTACTGTTGCTACAGGGGTCACGTGACGGAGCAAAGCCTCTATAGACACTTTGCGGCTTTATTTTAATACGACCAGACCAGAAAGAACTGACTGACTCGGCTGGAACTACAACAGACGAGCGGATTTGTTTTAAAATCAAACTCCCAAACAGGACCACGAACGCTCGGACTGACCACAGGCTCCTGAAAACCTGCTCTTTAGATGAATTTTGTATTTTTGCTTGAATTTTAAAACATTTTTTGTCTGTGTTTTGCATCGCGTCACCGTGGTAACCGCAGAACAACGTAGAGATACATGCAGAACACCCCCCAGCCCACGCTCGAGATCCTAAATTTGCGATATGTTTCATTGTTCATGGTCTGTCCCACCTCTGCTCCTCCATCTCAGGTCTTCTCAGATCTTTTGATGAAGGGTTCTGGTTCTCTCTGATCTTCTGCTGTAGGGCCGTGATCCTCTCAGGTCTTCTGGTGTAGGGTTCTGGTTCTCTCAGGTCTTCTGCTGCAGGTTTGTGGTTGTTTCAGGTCTTCTGGTGTAAGGTTCTGGTCCTCTCAGGTCTTCTGTCTGGTCTTCTAGGTCTTCTGCTGCAGGTCTATGGTCTTCTAAGGTCTTCTGCTGCAGGTCTATGGTCTTCTAAGGTCTTCTGCTGCAGGTCTTTGGTCTTCTGGTGTCTTCTGGTGTAGGTTCTGGTCTCTCAGGTCTTCTGTGTAGGGTTCTTCTTCTCTGGTCTTCTGCTGCAGGTTTGTGGTTGTTTCAGGTCTTCTGGTGTAAGGTTCTGGTCTTCTAGGTCTTCTGGTGTAGGGTTCTGGTTCTCTCTGGTCTTCTGCTGCAGGTCTGTGGTTCTCTCTGGTCTTCTGCTGCAGGTCTGTGGTCTTCTAAGGTCTTCTGCTGCAGGTCTGTGGTTCTCTCTGGTCTTCTGGTGTAGGTCTGTGGTCTTCTCAGGTCTTCTGCTGCAGGTCTGTGGTTCTCTCTGGTCTTCTGGTGTAGGGTTGTGGTCTTCTCAGGTCTTCTGCTTCAGGTCTGTGGGCTCTGAGGCCGGTGGAGTCTGGACTGAAGAGTCTGAGATCAGCTCTGGATCTTGTCTCTGATCCTGTCGGCAGCAACGAGAAAAACACAGGTTCAAAATCACAAATCAAACAAAATGAAAGTCAGACGCACCACACTGAGACTGTGTTTGAGGTCCGTGTTTGAGGTCCGTGTTTGAGGTCTGTGTTTGAGGTCTGTGTTTGAGGTCTTACTCTGTGTTTGAGGTCTTACTCTGTGTTTGAGGTCTTACTCTGTGTTTGAGGTCCGTGTTTGAGGTCTGTGTTTGAGGTCTGTGTTTGAGGTCTTACTCTGTGTTTGAGGTCCGTGTTTGAGGTCTTACTCTGTGTTTGAGGTCTGTGTTTGAGGTCCGTGTTTGAGGTCTGTGTTTGAGGTCTTACTCTGTGTTTGAGGTCTTACTCCGTGTTTGAGGTCTTACTCTGTGTTTGAGGTCTTACTCTGTGTTTGAGGTCTTACTCTGTGTTTGAGGTCCGTGTTTGAGGTCCGTGTTTGAGGTCCGTGTTTGAGGTCCGTGTTTGAGGTCCGTGTTTTGAGGTCTGTGTTTGAGGTCTGTTTGAGGTGTGTTTGAGGTCGTGTTTGAGGTCCGTGTTTGAGGTCTTACTCTGTGTTTGAGGTCCGTGTTTGAGGTCTCTTACTCTGTGTTTGAGGTCTTATCTCTGTGTTTGGTCGTGTTTGAGGTCCGTGTTTGAGGTCTGTGTCTCTGTGTTTGAGGTCCGTGTTTGAGGTCTTACTCTGTGTTTGAGGTCCGTTTTGAGGTCTCTGTGTTTGAGGTCCGTGTTTGAGGTCTTAGGTCTTACTGTGTTTGAGGTCTGTGTTTGAGGTCTTACTCTGTGTTTGAGGTCTGTGTTTGAGGTCCGTGTTTGAGGTCCGTGTTTGAGGTCCGTGTTTGAGGTCTGTGTTTGAGGTCTTACTCTGTGTTTGAGGTCCGTGTTTGAGGTCCGTGTTTGAGGTCTTACTCTGTGTTTGAGGTCTTACTCTGTGTTTGAGGTCCGTGTTTGAGGTCTTACTCTGTGTTTGAGGTCCATGTTTGAGGTCTTACTCTGTGTTTGAGGTCTTACTCTGTGTTTGAGGTCCGTGTTTGAGGTCTTACTCTGTGTTTGAGGTCCATGTTTGAGGTCTTACTCTGTGTTTGAGGTCCGTGTTTGAGGTCTTACTCTGTGTTTGAGGTCTAACTCTGTGTTTGAGGTCTTACTCTGTGTTTGAGGTCTTACTCTGTGTTTGAGGTCCGTGTTTGAGGTCTTACTCTGTGTTTGAGGTCTTACTCTGTGTTTGAGGTCCGTGTTTGAGGTTTGAGGTCTTACTCTGTGTTTGAGGTCCATGTTTGAGGTCTGTTTGAGGTCTTACTCTGTGTTTGAGGTCCGTGTTTGAGGTCTTACTCTGTGTTTGAGGTCTGTGTTTGAGGTCTTACTCTGTGTTTGAGGTCCGTGTTTGAGGTCTTACTCTGTGTTTGAGGTCCGTGTTTGAGGTCTGTGTTTGAGGTCCGTGTTTGAGGTCTTACTCTGTTTTGAGGTCCGTGTTTGAGGTCCATGTTTGAGGTCCGTGTTTGAGGTCTTACTCTGTGTTTGAGGTCTGTTTTGAGGTCTGTTTGAGGTCTTACTCTGTGTTTGAGGTCCGTGTTTGAGGTCTTACTCTGTGTGTTTGAGGTCTTACTCTGTGTTTGAGGTCCGTGTTTGAGGTCTTTTGAGGTCTCTGTGTTTTGAGGTCTTACTCTGTGTTGAGGTCCGTGTAGGTTGAGGTCTTACTCTGTGTTTGAGGTCCATGTTTGAGGTCTTACTCTGTGTTTGAGGTCTGTGTTTGAGGTCCGTGTTTGAGGTCCATGTTTGAGGTCCGTGTTTGAGGTCTTACTCTGTGTTTGAGGTCCGTGTTTGAGGTCTTACTCTGTGTTTGAGGTCCGTGTTTGAGGTCCATGTTTGAGGTCTTACTCTGTGTTTGAGGTCTGTGTTTGAGGTCCGTGTTTGAGGTCTTACTCTGTGTTTGAGGTCCGTGTTTGAGGTCTTACTCTGTGTTTGAGGTCCGTGTTTGAGGTCTTACTCTGTGTTTGAGGTCCGTGTTTGAGGTCTTACTCTGTGTTTGAGGTCCTTTGTGTTTGAGGTCTTACTCTGTGTTTGAGGTCTTACTCTGTGTTTGAGGTCCGTGTTTGAGGTCCGTGTTTGAGGTCCGTGTTTGAGGTCTTACTCTGTGTTTTGAGGTCCGTGTTTGAGGTCTTACTCTGTGTTTGAGGTCCGTGTTTGAGGTCTTAGGTCTCTGTGTTTGAGGTCCGTGTTTGAGGTCCGTGTTTAGGTCTTACTCTGTGTTTGAGGTCCGTGTTTGAGGTCTTACTCTGTGTTTGAGGTCCGTGTTTGAGGTCTTACTCTGTGTTTGAGGTCCGTGTTTGAGGTCCGTGTTTGAGGTCTTACTCTGTGTTTGAGGTCCGTGTTTGAGGTCCGTGTTTGAGGTCCGTGTTTGAGGTCTTACTCTGTGTTTGAGGTCTGTGTTTGAGGTCCGTGTTTGAGGTCTTACTCTGTGTTTGAGGTAGGACAGGTACGTGTCCCAGCCCAGCGTCACTGTGTTGATGTAAATCACTCGAAACTTTGGAGGCAGGAAGTAGAAGTTGATCATCTGAGCGGCCGGCCACACGGTCCAGTCTGCCTGAAAACACACACACAGACACACACACCTTTACACACACACGTTTACACACACACGTTTACACACAGACACACACACGTTTACACACACACGTTTACACACAGACACACACACGTTTACACACACATGTTTACACACACACACACACGACACACACACACACGTTTACACACACACAGACACACAGTTTACACACACACGTTTACACACACATGTTTACACACACACACACACACGTTTACACACAGACACACACACGTTTACACACACACGTTTACACACACACACACACGTTTACACACACACACACAGTTTACACACAGACACACACACGTTTACACACAGACACACACACACACACACGTTTACACACACACGTTTACACACAGACACACACACACACACGTTTACACACAGACACACACACACACACACGTTTACACACAGACACACACACGTTTACACACAGACACACACACGTTTACACACACACACACACACACACGTTTACACACACACACACACAGTTTACACACACAGTTTACACACACACACACACACACGTTTACACACACACGTTTACACACACACGTTTACACACAGTTTACACACACTTTACACACACACACACACGTTTACACACACGTTTACACACACACGTTTACACACACACACACACACACGTTTACACACACACACACACACACGTTTACACACACACGTTTACACACAGACACACACACGTTTACACACACACGTTTACACACACACGTTTACACACACGTTTACACACACACGTTTACACACACACACACACACGTTTACACACACACACACACGTTTACACACACACACACACAGTTTACACACACACGTTTACACACACACACACACAGTTTACACACACACGTTTACACACACACACACACACACACGTTTACACACACACGTTTACACACACACACAGTTTACACACACACGTTTACACACACACACACACGTTTACACACACACACACACACACGTTTACACACACACACACAGTTTACACACACACACACACAGACACACACACGTTTACACACACACACAGTTTACACACACACACACAGTTTACACACACACGTTTACACACACACGTTTACACACACACACACGTTTACACACACACGACACACACACGTTTACACACACACACAGTTTACACACACACGTTTACACACACACACACGTTTACACACACACGTTTACACACACACGTTTACACACACACGTTTACACACACACACACACAGTTTACACACACACGTTTACACACACACGTTTACACACACACACACACGTTTACACACACACACACGTTTACACACACAGTTTACACACACACGTTTACACACACACGTTTACACACACACGTTTACACACACGTTTACACACACACACACACACGTTTACACACACACGTTTACACACACACGTTTACACACACACGTTTACACACACACACACACACAGTTTACACACACACACACACACGTTTACACACACACGTTTACACACACACACACACACACGTTTACACACACAGACACACACACGTTTACACACACACACACACACACACGTTTACACACACACACACACACGTTTACACACACACACACACGTTTACACACAGACACACACACGTTTACACACACACACACACACGTTTACACACACACACACACGTTTACACACACACACACACTTTACACACACACGTTTACACACACAGACACACACACACGTTTACACACACACACACACGTTTACACACACACACGTTTACACACACACACACACAGACACACACACGTTTACACACACAGACACACACACGTTTACACACACAGACACACACACACACACGTTTACACACAGACACACACACGACACACACACACACAGTTTACACACACACACACGTTTACACACACACACACGTTTACACACACACACACACACGACACACACACGTTTACACACACACGTTTACACACACAGACACACACACGTTTACACACACAGACACACACACGTTTACACACACACACACACGTTTACACACACAGACACACACACGTTTACACACACAGACACACACACACACACGTTTACACACACACACACACACGTTTACACACACACACACACACGTTTACACACACACACACACGTTTACACACACACACACACGTTTACACACACACACACTTTACACACACAGACACACACACACGTTTACACACACACACACAGACGTTTACACACACACACACAGACACACACACGTTTACACACACACGTTTACACACACAGACACACACACGTTTACACACACACACACACACACGTTTACACACACAGTTTACACACACACACACGTTTACACACAGACACACACACGTTTACACACACGACACACACACACGTTTACACACACAGACACACACACGTTTACACACACAGACACACACACACACACACGTTTACACACACACGTTTACACACACAGACACACACACGTTTACACACACAGACACACACACACACACGTTTACACACACACACACACACACACACACACACACACGTTTACACACAGACACACACACGTTTACACACAGACACACACACGTTTACACACGCGATGGTGTCAGCCGTTTCGTAGTAAACCAGTTGCTCATGTTCAAAGATCCGACTCTGCACTTGTAGTTTAGACACAAGTCAAAAACTGTGTTATTATTATTTGTGAAATGTGGAGAAAAACTTCAGATGCAGGATTTTTAAAGCATAAAAGATTGGAGATAAAGTAGTAGCTGAGCCACTGTCGTTAATCTGCAGCTTCAGCTCGATCCGTGCGCTGTGTGGATGTAAACAAACACACGAGAGGAACTACTCCGGCCTTTTTACTTTTAAACAACGCCTCAAACTGGATTCACAGAGCGGTTTTGTGGACTGGGGGTCGTTATTTGCAGAGGATAAATTCTACAGATAATGTGAATGAGACGCAGCAGTTTAAATGTACAACTTTACAAGAGGTGAGGAATAAAATCTTCTCATTTGCACTATATCCTGAGTTTGTATTTTACGTCACACGTGTCAGTCACTCTCTGTTTTATCGGCTGTTATCGTTGCGTCGCTGATGGTTGGTGGTTATGATTTATTTAATACCTTATAAAACTCCCAGAACTTCTCTTTAAACTCGTTGCATCCGTCAAAAAAGGAGCGTCCCTCTGCCAGACCCATGCCTGCAACACACAAACACACAAACACATTTAAAGCTGCACTGTGGAACTTTTCTGGTGGAGGATCTGTCAAATATTTTCCTGAGACGTTATTGGCTGTTTTAGACCTGTTTTCAGACCTGCTTTAGTCCTGGTTTAGTCCTGGTTTAGACCTGGTTTTAGTCCTGGTTTAGTCCTGGTTTAGTCCTGGTTTAGTCCTGGTTTAGTCCTGGTTTAGTCCTGGTTTAGATCTGGTTTTAGTCCTGGTTTAGTCCTGGTTTAGTCCTGGTTTAGGTCTAGTTTAGATCTAGTTTAGACCTGGTTTTAGTCCTGCTTTAGACCTGGTTTAGACCTGGTTTTAGTCCTGGTTTAGACCTGGTTTAGACCTGGTTTTAGTCCTAGTTTAGTCCTGGTTTAGTCCTGGTTTAGACCTGGTTTAGTCCTGGTTTTAGTCCTGGTTTTAGACCTGGTTTTAGACCTGGTTTAGACCTGGTTTTAGACCTGGTTTAGACCTGGTTTAGACCTGGTTTTAGTCCTGGTTTAGTCCTGGTTTTAGTCCTGGTTTAGACCTGGTTTAGACCTGGTTTAGACCTGGTTTAGACCTGGTTTTAGTCCTAGGTTTAGTCCTGGTTTAGTCCTGGTTTAGTCCTGGTTTAGTCCTGGTTTAGTCCTGGTTTTAGACCTGGTTTAGACCTGGTTTAGACCTGGTTTAGACCTGGTTTAGACCTGGTTTAGACCTGGTTTTAGACCTGGTTTAGACCTGGTTTTAGACCTGGTTTAGACCTGGTTTAGACCTGGTTTAGACCTGGTTTAGACCTGGTTTAGACCTGGTTTAGACCTGGTTTAGATCTGGTTTAGTTTCCAGCAATGAGTTGAAAAAAAAAAAAGAAAAAAAAGAAAAAAAGGGGATTTAGTCCAAAATGTGAAAACAGGAAAATCCCTCTGTGTAATCCAATTATTTCAACAAAGTAACTGTAATCCAATCACCACTGACTGAAACAGTAACTGTAACTGAATACAGTTACTCATCATTTGTACTCTGATTACTCTGGTACATGTAATCTGTTACTCCACAACACTGGTAAAACAGCTGTATTCTTTTATTTAATAAACATTTTGCCGAGGTTTCCCCAGAGAAAAACTCATGTTGGATATTCAGGCGCTTTGTGATGCTTTGCAGGGGCGTTCTACATGCTCCTCTATGGTGGAATGTTCAGCAGTTAGCACCACGCTCACCTTAGCAAACACTGTCAATAAAGTTTTAAGTGTGAAAACTCAAGATAAAAACACAAAATGGATTTAAAAAAGCACATGTTCATGAGTTTGTGATCACTCGGTTCACGGTTCAGTTCAGGAGTTTAATTTTCAATAAAAACGTGAAAGTGACTCACTGAAAAACTGCTGACTAATGCTAATTCTTTGAGAGGGATTTAAGATTCGTTTACCAGCACAGATCGGCTCACTTGTTGTACTTCCAGCTAAACCAGTTATTTATTTTATTGTATTGTAATATATATTGTGTTAAAACAAAGATCAGATTAAGCCCGAGTTTTATTGAATGAATTAAACGATAAATTCCCGACGTCTGTTCTAGAATCACATTTGGGACGGGCCACGTTTAACTCACTACAGCGCAGTGTTGGGAAGTTTACTTTTAAAATGTAATCCCCTACAGATTACAGATTACATCCCCCAAAATGTAGTTTGTAACAGAATCCATTAAATGACTTAAAGTGAGTAATGTAATCTGATTACTTTGGATTATTTGATTTGTTGTAGAGAAACAAAGACGAGGAAATCTTCACATAAGAAGTTTTGTCTGATAAAAGAAAATAAAAAAAAACAGACTTTACTGAACCAAATTAAAAATATTATTGATAGAAGAAGAAGAAACACGTCCACACAGCAGGATTTAGTCCTGTTCAATCCTGTTTGAGAGATAGTTAGACCTGGTTTTAGTCCTGGTTTAGACCTGGTTTAGACCTGGTTTAGATCTGGTTTAGAACTGGTTTAGACCTGGTTTAGAACTGGTTTAGACCTGGTTTAGAACTGGTTTAGAACTGGTTTAGTCCTGGTTTAGCCTTGGTTTAGACCTGGTTTAGAACTGGTTTAGAACTGGTTTAGAACTGGTTTAGAACTGGTTTAGTCCTGGTTTAGCCTTGGTTTAGACCTGGTTTAGATCTGGTTTAGAACTGGTTTAGACCTGGTTTAGAACTGGTTTAGACCTGGTTTAGACCTGGTTTAGACTGGTTTAGAACTGGTTTAGACCTGGTTTAGAACTGGTTTAGAACTGGTTTAGTCCTGGTTTAGCCTTGGTTTAGACCTGGTTTAGAACTGGTTTAGAACTGGTTTAGAACTGGTTTAGAACTGGTTTAGACCTGGTTTTAGATGTGGTTTAGACCTGGTTTAGACCTGGTTTAGACGTGGTTTTAGACCTGGTTTAGACCTGGTTTAGACCTGGTTTTAGAGGTTTACCTGGTTTAGACCTGGTTTAGACCTGGTTTAGACCTGGTTTAGAAACCTGGTTTTAGACCTGGTTTTAGACCTGGTTTCTGGTTTTAGACCTGGTTTAGTGTTCGGTAATGAGAGGAATTACTGAAAAAAAAAGAAAAAAAAAAGGATTTAGCCCAAAATGTGAAAACAGTTAAATCCCTCTGTGTAATCCATTTACTTGAACAAAGTAACTGTAATCCAATTACCGCTCACTGAAACAGTAACTGTAACTGAATACAGTTGCTCATCATTTGTACTCTGATTACTCTGGTACATGTAATCTGTTACTCCACATCACTGCTAAAGCGACATCCAGATCTCAAAGAACTCAACTCTGACTGAACCTGAGTTGGTTCAGGTCCAGTGTCGCTCCTGCTCATAAACAGAGTCTGGAAGTGAACGCTGGCAGTTTGACTTTTACACATATAGAAAAAAAAACATGTTATTGTCAAATGATGTGAAAGAAAGACTAAATATCATGACAAAGTTTTTAGAGACACTTTCTCTACACAAACAAGACTTGGCACATTAACATGACCAAAAGACAATTCTCCCTGTTCACTGTGTGGGTCAATCCAACCGACTCGTCTGCTCTGATTTGTTTCTTTCTCCAGGTGGAGGTTGGTTTTCTCTGGACAGGCTGGTGCCACCTAGTGCCTCCGCTCAATTTCACTTCTCTCCAGTGACTCGGTCAGCGAGCAGAAAACACTAAACCAGGAGAGTCAGACTCATGTTGGTCCGGGGGCCGTATCCAAACGACTTTGATCCAAAGGAGCCGGATCAGAAAACATGGCTCATTTGCATAAACAGCTCACTCCACGTGCCGCTCTTGAGGTTCACCTTCTTTTGGACTAAAGGACGAGACTCGGTGGAACATGAGGATGTGCTGCTGATGGTTTTGTCTGTAAATGGTGGAAAAGGTTCGTGGAGCTTGAAGCTTTTCACTGGCACCAACTTTCGGGTTCACGGTGATAGTGACGAGTGAAGGAAACACGAGTGAACAACATCAGGGAGGCGGACGCGACGAGAGAGAAGATAAACAAGCGAAACGGCTAAATCAAAATTGAATATAAGCATTATATCGATATATACGATATGTCAGAATTCATATCGAGTTTTAAAAAAATCTCGATATATTAAAAATATCGAGATATCGCCCCCCCCATGTCAGATTAAATCAAAGTTCTGCGTTTCACGGTCCTTTCTTTTGTTAAATATTATCTACGACCTTTGCCCCGTTCTTCTTTGACACTCCCACTGTGGATCTAAAACTTAAACCGTCTAAAGGTCAAACTCTGGAAACGTTACTGGAGACTTTAAACTTTCCTTAAACCAAGTGTTCTCCGTGAAATACGCTAAAAAATACAAAATAAACAACATTTATTTATTTATTTAACCAGTAAAACTCGGTGAGGTGACGCGTCCTTCAGCTTCAGTCATTTTAAGTTTGACAGACTTTTTAAAAATCACAAATCAGCTGTTGTAGTTCTAACCAAGTCGGATTTTTTTCTGCTCAGATTGTGTTCAAATAAAGATCGGACTTCAGACAGAGTAGTGCTTTCTGTTAGCGTCACACTCCAGTATCAAAGTATCGATCGTTCCAGCATTTTCCGCTTCAAACCCGAGACTTTCAAAAGCTTTTCTCCACGAAGATCTTATTGTTTTGTCTTGAATGTTTCACAGTTTGACATTAAATCTTTCTATCTTCATGGAGATGAAACTAGACTTTTTATTTTGTTGTTTTTTTTAGCTCTAAAACCACCTGAAACTGAACAAGGCCCCGTCCACACTGGTTCGTATTCGAGTGTGGACACCTGAAAACGCTGATACTCTGATGTCGGTCCGTGCGTCGCCGAGTAACTCACCGACAAAACACTAAGAGGCGAGAACATGTGTCCATTTATATAAACGTGTGTCTGTGTGTTCGACCTGCAGACGAATCCCTGTGTCGCTCGTTTACTCGTTTTTCAATATAAAACCAAAAATAAGAAAATGAAAAAAAAACAAAAAACTGTTTTCTTCATTATTTGTCTCTAAAACCAAAATGAAAAAACAGATAATGATTCGTTTTTTCAGTTTTCAATTTTGTGTTTAAATGAAAAATGGACTGAGACCGGGACTACGCCGAGACCAGACCGGGACCAGACCGAGACTGAGACCAGACCAGGACCAGAGCGGGACTGAGACCGGGACTGAGACCGGGACTGAGACCGGGACTGAGACCGGGACCAGACCGGGACCAGACCGAGACAGAGATCAGGACTGAGAAGGGGACCAGACCGAGACTGAGACCAGACCAGGACCAGAGCGGGACTGAGACCGAGACCAGACCAGGACCAGAGCAGGACTGAGACCAAGACCAGACCAGGACCAGGCCGGGACCAGGCCGGGACCAGACCAGGGCCGACCAGACCGGAGGCTCAGAGCCCATGGCAGGGCCAGAGCTCGAAGCTCGGACTCCGCTCTGGTCCCTGTCTGGTCCCTGTCTGGTCCCGGACCTGGTTCAGTCCTGGTTTAGTCCGTATGCAGTGCAAAAGTCCGACATCGCAGTCACGGACGTCACTTAAATGGGAAACGGCCGTTACTCATTTTTTTATCTCTGTCTCGGTCTGGTCCTGCTCTGGTCCTGGTCTGGTCTCGGTCTCAGTCCCGCTCTGGTCCTGGTCTGGTCTCGGTCTGGTCCCCTTCTCAGTCCTGATCTCTGTCTCGGTCTAGTCCCGGTCTCAGTCCCGGTCTCAGTCCCGGTCTCAGTCCCGGTCTTGTTCCTTTCTGGTCGTTATCCATTTTTTTTCCATTTTTTATTTAAACACAAAATCAAAAACTGAAAAAACAAATCATCTGTTTTTTCATTTTGGTTTTGGAGACAAATAATGAAGAAAACAGTCGTTTTGCTTTATATGTTGTAAAGTTTCATCATGTAAAGTTTATTGGTTATTTGATCTGCTGCAGTGTCACTTGTTCAGTGTTGGTTTGATCTGTGGTGGATTGTGGGATTAAACCTCAGAGCTTCTTACTCTGGTGAGGAACATGGATCTAATAAAATAATGAACCTCCTGAGCTTCATCGTACGGTTACAGAGTTAATGCAAAGATGAGCTTGAGTTGAGCTGTTTTAATTTAATTTTGAATGAAAAGAAGACAGTATGGATTATTTTTGTCTACAGAGACGTTTTTATTAATGTCACAGAAGCACTTTGCTCATAAATGAACATGATGGAATTTGTTTTTGCAGTGGATTTGGGGGGTTATTTTTTCCTGTACAGATATCGAGATATATATCGTATATCGAGATATGGCAAAATATATCGATATATATTTTTTGCTCCATATCGCCCAGATCTACCTTGAACATTCTCATTTTTGAGGTTTCGGTCGTAGTGCAAGACACAAATGACACGAGTGTAAGAGTTAATGTCAAACTGTCAAAACATCTCCATTAGGGATGGACATGATTAATCAATTAATCGATAATTGATCATTAAGAATTTCATCGATTACGTTCATTTTAATGGACAAACTGAATGTATGTGTGTGTGTCGTGACCAAACAGGTGTGTACATGTGTCTCTGCATCAGAAGGAGCGAGACACAAACAGTGGGTCAGTCTGTAACGAACCGAAGCACAAATGTGGATTTAACCAGGATTTGTAGAAGAAATTCCACACTTTCCGTTGCGTTGGGACAAGTGTGAGTCCATGTGCACAGTGGATAAAGCAGCACATATGTTTCTGTGTCCAGTGGGAAAAAGTTTTTCCAGGTGAGAGTCGCTCAATGTGGATGACGAGGCCCCGCCCCCCTCCCCCCGTACGCTGTCCTGGTTTTGACAAACACAAATCTGGTCACACTGACCTGTATTCATCTGAGTCATGTCTTTTAATCCAACACAAGTTGAACCACATCAGCGACACAAGAGCTGGAGTTTTATCTTCACTTAGTTTATGTAAATTAGTGATGTGGTTTTAAGTTTTGTTTCTGTGAGATTTGAACAAAACTGAATTAAACACATTATAATGTCAAACAGCTGATGTGGATCTAGAGTCGTTATGTTTATATGTCGTAAAGTTGAATTTATTTATGCAGATTAGTGCAGATAGTAATAATAATGATGATCATTTTAATATAAAAACGTTAATGATTAATCAATAATCGATCGTTAATTCTTCCGACGATCGATTAAGAACATTTCATCGAATGCTCATCCCTAATCTCCATAGAAACAAGCAGGTGATGGACCAAACAGAAAAGTTACACAGTGCACCTTTACTAGGGGTGTGCAAAAATATCAGAATATCGATATATCGTATCGTTTAATGTAATGATACAGTATCGATATCGTGGGCTACTGTATCGATATTTCACCAAGAGTATTTTTAGGTGTGTTTTACTAAATTATTTTGTTACAGCTACAGTTTTGTTGTTTGTGGAGTGAAAGGAAACTCATTTATGCGACACATTTGACATTTTTACAGTTTTCATGATTAAAATGTTTGTGTTTCATATGAACTTTGCACAAGAAGAAGTGGTTTAACAAAGACTTTTAGTATCACAGACATGATTTAGCTTTTATTTTTTATTGAACCGTATTGAATTGATTTGAAATATATCATATCGAATCAAAAGTGCACTGTATCGAGGTATGTATCGTATCGGCAACTCCTTAATGATACCAGCCCTAACTTTTACTTCTACTTCAAACCGTGATCTCACCTGCGAAGTACCAGAGCCCCATGACCGGAGAAGCCACCAGCTGATCCACCAGGACCTTCTTCCCGACGGTGGCGAGCGCCCGACCCGTCATGACCCGGTCCAACCACGAGTACCAGACGTGGAGCAGAGGCCCGAGAGAACAGCCCACCACAAACATACGACCTGCAGACACAGACGGACACAAACAAACTCCAGTCAACAGACGGCAGGGACGGAAACGTGTCCACAGGTCCACAGGTCCACAGGTCCACAAGTCCACAGGTCCACAGGTCCACAGGTCCACAGGTCCACAGGTCCACAGTCCACAGTCCACAGGTCCACAGGTCCACAGGTCCACAGGTCCACAGGTCCACAAGGTCCACACACACCACAGTCCACACACAGGTCCACAGGTCCACAGGTCCACAGGTCCACAGGTCCACAGGTCCACAGGTCCACAGGTCCACAGGTCCACAAGTCCACAGGTCCACAGGTCCACAGGTCCACAGGTCCACAGGTCCACAGGTCCACAGGTCCACAGGTCCACAGGTCCACAGGTCCACAGGTCCACAGGTCCACAGGTCCACAGGTCCACAGGTCCACAGGTCCACAGGTCCACAGGTCCACAGGTCCACAGGTCCACAGGTCCACAGGTCCACAGGTCCACAGGTCCACAGGTCCACAGGTCCACAGGTCCACAGGTCCACAGGTCCACAGACGATATGTTCAAGAGGAGAAACAAAACAAAACAAGAGCAACGTTTTCAAAATAAAGAAAAGGAAAAAAACAACTATTTTCTTCATTATTTGTTTAAACCAGGACTGAACCAGGACTAAAACGGGACTAAAACAGGACTAAAACAGGACTGAACCAGGACAGAGTGTCGGGACCAGGACCGAGACCGGGACTGAGACTGGGACCAGACCGGGAATGAAACCAGGACCAGAACAGGACAAGACTGAGACCTATTTAGTCCTGTTTTAGTCCTGTTTTAGTCCTGTTTTAGTCCTGTTTTAGTCCTCGGTCAGTCCCGGTTCAGTCTTGGTCCAGTCCTGGTTCAGTCCTGGTTCAGTCCTGGTCCAGTCCTGGTCCGGCCCTGGTCTCAGTCCAGGTCTCAGTCCTCAGTCCCAGTCTCGGTCCCGGTCCCAGTCTGGTCCTGGTCTCAATCCTGGGCTCCATTCTGGTCCCTGTCCTCACCTGTCCTCACCTGTCCTGCTCCAGTCCTCAGTCCTGCACCTGTCCTCACCTGTCCTGCTCCAGTCCTGCACCTGTCCTGCACCTGTCCTGCTCCAGTCCTGCACCTGTCCTCACCTGTCCTGCTCCAGTCCTGCACCTGTCCTCACCTGTCCTGCTCCAGTCCCTGTCCTGCACCTGTCCTGCTCCAGTCCTGCACCTGTCCTCACCTGTCCTGCTCCAGTCCCTGTCCTGCACCTGTCCTCACCTGTCCTGCTGTCCACTGTCCTGCCTCCTCCTGTCCTGCACCTGTCCTGCTCCAGTCCTGTCCTGCACCTGTCCTGCTCCACCCTGTCCTGCACCTGTCCTGCTCCAGTCCTGCACCTGTCCTCACCTGTCCTGCTCCAGTCCTGCACCTGTCCTCACCTGTCCTGCTCCAGTCCTGCCTGTCCTGCACCTGTCCTGCTCCAGTCCCTGTCCTGCACCTGTCCTCACCTGTCCTGCTCCAGTCCCACCTGCACCTGTCCTCACCTGTCCTGCTCCAGTCCTGCACCTGTCCTCACCTGTCCTGCCTGCACCTCCTGTCCTGTCCTCTGCACCTGTCCTCACCTGTCCTGCTCCAGTCCCTGTCCTGTCCTCACCTGTCCTCACCTGTCCTGCTCCAGTCCTGCACCTGTCCTCACCTGTCCTGCTCCAGTCCCAGTCCTGCACCTGTCCTCACCTGTCCTGCTCCAGTCCTGCACCTGTCCTCACCTGTCCTGCTCCAGTCCTGTCCTGCCTGTCCCTGTCCAGTCCTGCACCTGTCCTCACCTGTCCTGCTCCAGTCCTGCACCTGTCCTCACCTGTCCTGCTCCTGTCCTGCACCTGTCCTCACCTGTCCTGCTCCAGTCCCTGTCCTGCACCTGTCCTCACCTGTCCTGCTCCAGTCCTGCACCTGTCCTCACCTGTCCTGCTCCAGTCCCTGTCCTGCACCTGTCCTCACCTGTCCTGCTCCAGTCCCTGTCCTGCACCTGTCCTCACCTGTCCTGCTCCAGTCCTGCACCTGTCCTCACCTGTCCTGCTCCTGTCCTGCACCTGTCCTCACCTGTCCTGCTCCAGTCCCAGTCCTGCACCTGTCCTCACCTGTCCTGCACCTGTCCTGCACCTGTCCTCACCTGTCCTGCTCCAGTCCCTGCGGTGTCTCGGGTCTTTGTGTTGTTCCCAGGTTTGCTGCAGCGCGTCTCCGAGTCCCAGCATCCCGCCGGAGCTCACGGTGTTGGTGACGAGCAGGTACCGGCCCTGGAACAGCGGCCTCCAGAAGAACCGGACCCGGACCAGGAACTGAGGGAGCATGTCTGTCAGCCCCACCGAGTCACCACCGAGTCAGTCCTGAGGCGCGTGGAGGACGAGCGGAACGGACCGGACGCGTTAGGAACAAAAACGCATGAAAACAGTGAATTTAAAAAAGAGTTTTAAAACGACATCCTGCTCAAACACGAAGGACAAAACACACGTGACGAAGACACGACAGGACACGCATGCGCACACAGGAGGAGCCGGTCCAAAGTGCAGAAAAGAGACGGGGCAGGATGTGGAGACGCCCTCTGCTGGACCGGAGGAGATACTGCAGCTTTTTTATATGGTTTAATTAAAGTTCATCTCTTTTATTACTGTAAATAAATACTCAAATGAACTCTGATCAAAATTTAGAAACACTTATCCTGGAAAAAACATCTGTTAGAATTCATTTGGACGGCTCAAGTATAATAACCCATTTCCAGCATAAACATTATAAAGTTGAATATTTGGTAAACCTAGTCGCTCTGTTAGGGAAATTTCGTTAACACTTTATAATAACTACACATTATTTAGCCTTAATAAAGCATGAACAAAGACTTAATAAATAATGATTCATGCTTAATAAATGCTTAATAAAGGATAATTCATCTTCACTTTAGAAAAGCTCTTAAAAAGACTTAACAGATAACAGCTGCCTGAATTATCATTGTATTGTGTTATTAGTAAATCATTCTCTCATAGTTTATTAATGATTAATAAATGCCCAAATGGTTAGTTCATGAGTAATTAAGTATGAAATAATTATGAGTAACTATTTACATCACAGGCAAATTAAGTGCAAGTGCTAATTAAGGCAGTAATTAAGTAGTTACTAAGTGTGAATCATTATTAATTAAATCTTTGTTTATTATTAATTAAGCCTTTGTTCATGCTTTATTAAGGCTAAATAAGGTGTAGTTATTATAAAGTGTTACCGAAATTTCATATCCATAAATCCAAATTCTCTAATTTCAGACCCTTAAAAAAAGAACTATCAAGAACTATCTTCAAATTCTAAACAATAACATTAAATCTCTCAAAACTCTCAATATTACAAAAGAATTAGGATTTTATTTTTAATCACTTGCTCAGTTTTTTGTATTGATTTATTTGTACACATTATCTGCCTCAGTTTAAGTTTACATGTGTGTCAAATTTGTTTTTGTTTTGTTTTGGCTTTAAATTATGACTTGCAAGTCATGACTTGGACTTGAGTCAGACTTGAGTCACCATTTTTAGGGCTTGAGACTTGACTTGATGAAATAGACCAAGACTTGGGACTCGACTTATAAATACAATACAATACAATTTAATGTAATTTAATGTAATTTAATTTAATGTAATTTAATTTAATTTAATTAATAAACAATAGGAGGGCAAAAAAAGAACAAAAAACAAAAACACAGAATATGTCCTACTAAAAAATTTTCTTCATTATTTGTCTCCAAAACCAAAATAAAAAAACAGATAATGATTCGTTTTTTCAGTTTTCGATTTTGTGTTTAATTAAATGAAAAATGGAAAAAACAGATAATGGACTGAACCAGGACTAAACCAGGACTGAACTAGGACTGAACCAGGACTAAACCAGGACTGAACTAAACCAGGACTGAACTAGGACTGAACCAGGACTAAAACCAGGTCTAAACCAGGACTGAACCAGGACTAAACCAGGACTAGGACTGAACCAGGACTGAACCAGGACTAAACCAGGACTGAACCAGGACTGAACCATGAACCAGGACTGAACCAGGACTGAACCAGGACTGAACCAGGACTAAACCAGGACTAAACCAGGACTAAACCAGGACTAAACCAGGTCTAAACCAGGTGTAAACCAGGTCTAAACCAGGACTAAACCAGAACTAAACCAGAACTAAACCAGGTCTAAACCAGGAGTGTTGGGACGGGCCGCATAGACTGTCGGGTGATCAGGACAGAAACCAGCACCAAACCGAGGCCAGGACCAGAGTCGAGACCAGGACTGAGACTGGTTTAGTTCTGGTTCAGTCCATTATCCAGTTTTTCATTTTGGTTTTGGAGACAAATAATGAAGAAAATAGTTTTTTTTATTTTTTTTATTATTTATTTTTTTTATTGTATTTTGAGAAAACGAATGACTGAATGACACACGGATTCTAAAACATTTAATGCCATATGTAACATTCCAGACAAACAATAACAAAGCATTTGTAACTTTTCTCTTCATCAGGAAAGTTACACAATGCACCTTTAAACAGTACTCTGGTTTATGTTTATCGGTATTTTTGCTCTTCTCTTATTTGATTTCACGAGTTTTATTTTCTTACCGAGGATTAAATCGAGCCTTTATTTTGTATTTCTGGATTTTTTATTTTTGTTTTGACATTCTACCATCGTGGCCTCGTGCTCTGGTGAAACAGTCTGACATATCGAGTGTATCGTCGTGTTATTGTAACTCGGACTCGTGCTTCCCGCTGACCTCCGGATCAATAATTCATCCTCTCTGCGTGCCTCGTCAATATTTAACGTCAGGTGCATTTTCTTTTTTTTTTTTTTTTTTTTTTTTTTTTTTGCGGCACGGCTCCTGATTGGCTCAAACGTCTGTCCGTCCCCGCGCGTCATCCCGCCCACCTGTCATTCATTTAGCGTGCGTCTCCGTGCGTAAAGCGCGAGGAATGCACCTGGAGGAAGTGTACTTTTCAAAATAAAAGGATCAGTTATAGGGAGTATTAACTGTTACATAAGAGTGAGTTGTAGGGAGTATTATTTGCTTCATAAGGGTGAGTAGTACAACTACTACTACAACAATAAACAACAATTACTACTACTACATCAACTACTACAACTACTATTACTATTACTACCACTACTACTACTACTACTACTTCTACTACTATTACTACTACAACAACAACTACTACTACTACTATTACTATTACTACCACTACTACTACTACTACTACTTCTACTACTATTACTACTACTTCTACTGTTACTACTACAACTACTACTACTACTACTACAACAACTACTACTACTACTACTACTACTACTACTACTACTACTACAACACCTACAACAACAACTACTACTACTACTACAACCACTACTACTACAGCTTCTACTACTACTACTGCAACTACTACAACAACTACAACAACCACTACTGCTACTACTACTACAACCACTACTACTACTACTACTACAATCACTACTACTACAGCTACTACTACTACGACTACTGCAACTACTACAACTACTACAATTACTACTACTACTAATACTACTACTACTACTAGTACTACAACTACTACTACTACAGCAACTACTACTTCTACTACAGCTCGTACTATTACCGCTACTACTACTATTATTACTACTACGACTACAACTACTACTACTACTACTACAACTACTACTACAACAACAAAAACAATTATTACTACTACAACTACTACTACTGTTATTACTGCTACTACTACTACTATTACTAGTACTACTACTACTATTACTATTACTACTTGTAGTAGTAGTAGTGCTACTACTACATTACTAAAATACCAGTATTTTGCAGTTTTTGGATTTCCTGGATTTCTTTTGGTAAATCGGTGTAAATTTGGTTAAAAAGTGAATAAAAATAAAAACCTTTTATTATTTCTCCCATTCACATACTGGCGCACGTGACCACGCCGCGTGACTCCCGGAGGCCCTTTCACAGTAAAACACCCTGTAGTTTTATTGTGAAAGTGCGTCGCGGATGCACGTCTCCTCCTTCCGTCGCGCTTGACTCTTCTTCTGCGGTCACTGGACGCGGCGGAGATCAGCCTCCTGGAAACCCACAAAGGTACGATTTCACATTTTATTATTTTATTACACCGCACCCAAAACGCGTATTTACACCGTATTTTTCCAACTATTTTAATTTTTACGTTTTTATTTTTGTATTCGGGGTGATTTTTGGAGGAGATGCGCGCTCTTCGGGATGCCTGCTGTGCCCGATGCGTAAAACCGGGACAGCTGGAAGTGAAAGCGCCGCATTTGTCCGCTTTTTCCGCTATTTTTACGTATTTATTTGGTATTTATCGTGTTTTTTTTTTTTTTTTCGCTTGTTGTTTGTCCGTGCTCGTAACCCGCAGCGGTTTTAGGCGTGCACTGCCGCCTCGCGCTGTCCCAGAAATCGAGGAAATTAATGGGAAAAATTACACATCGCGTCGATCATCCGTGTGAAACCAAACCGAAGCGTGTTTTTTTTTATATTCTAATCATGCGAAAATGTAATGCAAAATAAATGAAAATGAAACCCTGAAACGCTCGGGTTGGGATCGGAAGGTGCATGAGTTACCGCAGTGAGGCTCGTTATGGGGCAGACTCTCCGGCTCAAATAAAAAAGGAAATACACGAGATTTTTGGTTATTTTTATTCGTGTTTTTGTGGAAAATACGAAGCATAAAACTCAGAATGACAGCGTAGAAACAGCCCTCGTTTTGTCTCATTTATATTGTCTGAAACAGGAGATTCTGTGTGGATTTACAAATATAAAAATACTTAGAGTACAGTATTAGTGTTCAAATACTGCAGCTAATAATAACAGAGTACTACACTAAAGTACTACTACTACTACTACTACTACTACTGAAATACTAGTATTACACCCAGCGTGTTTAAATACTGCAGCTAATAATAACAGAAGACTAAAGTACTGTTACTACTACTGCTACTACTACTACTACTACTACTACTACTACTACTACTGCTACTACTGCTACTAGTACTGCTACTGCGAATAGCCCTACTACTACTACTGCTGAAATAATAGTATTACACCCAGCGTGTTTAAATACTGCAACTAATAATAACAGACTACTACACTAAAGTCCTACTACTACTACTACTACTACTACTACTACTACTACTGGTACTACTATGACTAATAGGCCTACTACTTCTACTTCTATTGAAATATCAGTATTAGACCCAGCGTGTTCAAATACTGCAGCTATAATAAAAACAACAGACTACTAGACTAAAGTACTACTACTACTACTACTACTACTACTACTACTACTACCACTACTACAATACCAGTATTAGAACCAGTGTGTTCAAATAATGCAGCTAATAATAACAGACGACAAGAGTAAATACTACTACTAGTGCTACTATTACTGCTACTGATACTGCTGCTACTTCTACTACTGTTAATAGGTCTACTACTACTACTACTACTACTACTACTACTACTACTACTACTACTACTGCTACTACTACTACTACTACTACTACTACTACTACTACTACTACTACTACTGCTACTACTACTAAAATACCAGTATTAGACCAGCCTGTTCAAATACTGCAGGTTATAATAACAGACTACTAGACTGAAGTACTACTAGTACTACTACTATTACTACCTTGTATTTCTGCTAGAAAGATACTATTATTACTACTAAAATACCAGTATTAGACCCAGCGTGTTCAAATACTGCAGCTTATAGTAACAGCTAACTAGACTAAAGTACTATTACTACTACTACTACTACTACTACTACTACTACTACTACTATTACTACTTCAGCATTGTATTTCTGCTAGAAAGATCACAGCCTTTACCACTGTTACTGTCACTGTTCTTAAACTCTGCGTTACATGTGTATGTAAATGTATATGTATATGTATACACTACTACTACTGCTACTACTACTACTACTACTACTACTACTACTACTACTACTACTACTACTACTACTACTACTACTACTGCTACTACTACTACTACTACTACTACTACTACTACTACTACTGCTACTACTGCTGCTGCTGCTGCTTTTCTGTGTGAAGGTGCAGGTTTTGTTTGCTCACGTGTTCACTTTTCGGAGCCTCTGTTTGTGATCGAGACTCGGGTTTATCAGAGGACGAGGTTTAGTTCATAAAAACGAGAGGAAGAAAAAGAGGAGAAGGAGAAAAGAGGAGGAGGAGAAGAAGAAGAGAAAGAGAAGAAGTGCACGTGTGTCGTAGGAGGAGGAAAGTGTCGTCGTTTTCACGTTGAGAGAGACGACGTTTCTCCCTCACGTGAAACATTTACAAACAACGGAAGAAAGTGTGAGGATGGATGGATGAAGAAAAGAGAGAGAGAGAGATGGAGGGATGGGGAGAGAGAGAGAGTCGAGGGAGTAGGAGAAGGGGGTAAAGAAAGAGAGGGATGGAGGGAGAGAAGAGAGAGGGAGTAGAGGAGAAAGTGATGGGAGAGGGAAAGAGAAAGGGGGATGGAGAGAGGGAGGAGAAATTGAGGAGAGAGAGAGAGAGAGAGGAAAGAAAGAGAGGAACAGAGGAGAGAGAGAGGAAAGAGGGGGCAGAGGAGAGAGGGATGGATGGGATGGGATGGAGAGAGGTGGAGGAGGAGAGAGGGACAGAAGAGAGAGACTGAGGAGAGAGAGGGAGCGGGGGAGGAAAGAGGAAAAAAGGAGAGAGTGGGAGGAGAGAGAGAGAGGAAAGGGGGGGTAGGGGAGAGAGGGATGGATGGGATGGGAGAGAGGGAGGAAAGAAAGAAAGAGAGAGGAAAGAGAGAAATAGAGGAGAGGAAGGAAAGAGAGGTGGGGGAGCAGAGAGGGACAGAGGAGGAGAGAGAGAGAGAGAGGGAGGGGTGGAGGAAGAGAGGAGAGAGAGAGAGAGGGATTGGGGGGAGGAGAGAGAGAGAAAGACAAAGGGGGAGGGGAAGAGAGGGAGGAAAGAGGGGAGAGAGATGGAGAGAGGAGAGAGAGAGGGAGGGATGAAGGAGAGAAGAGAGGGATGGAGGAGGAGAGAGGGAGGAAAAAGAGAAAGGTGGGGAGGAGAGAGGGACAGAGAGAACAAGGAGAGAGAGAGGGATGGAGGAGGAGAGAGAGAGAGAGGCGAGAGGAAAGAAAAGGAGGGGTGATGAGGAGAGGGAGAAAAGAGAGATGAGAGAGGGAGGGAGAGAGGGATGGAGGGGGAGAGAGGGAGGAGAAAGAGGAGAGAGAGGAAAGAGAGAGGTGGAGGAGCGGAGAGGGACAGAGGAGAGAGAGAGAGAGAGGAGGAGGAAAGAAAGAGAGGGGTGGTGAGGAGAGGAGAGAGCGAGGGATGGATGAAGGGAGAGAAGAGAGGGACGGAGGGGGAGAGGAGAGATTGAGGAGAGAGGGAGAGGGGGAAGAGAGAGAGGAAGAGAAAGAGGGAGGAGTAGAGGGGAGATTATGAGGAAAAAGAGAGAGAAAGAGAGAAACAGAGAAGAGAGAGAGGGGTGAGATGAGAGAGGGAGGAAAGAGAGAGGTGGGGGAGGAGAGAGATTGAGGAGAGAGGGATAGGGGGAGGAAAGAAAGAGAGGGGTGGAGGAAGAGAGAGGAACAGAGGAGAGAGAGGAAAGAAAAGGGGGTGATGAGGAAAGGAGAGAGAGAGAAAGGAGAGATGAGAGAGGGAGGGGGAAAGGGATGGAGGGGGAGGAAAGAGAGAGAGGTGGGGGAGCAGAGAGGGACAGAGGAGAGAGAGAGAGGGGGAGGAATGAAGGGAGAAAAGAGAGGGAGGGATGAAGGGAGAGAGAGGGGGAGAGGAGAGATTGAGGAGAGAGGGAGAGGGGGAAGAGAGAGAGCGAGGGATAGAGGGGGGGATGAGGAGAAAGAGAGGAGAGAGAGAGGGACAGAGAAGAGAGAGAGGGAGGGAGAGAGGGATGGAGGGGGAGAGAGGGAGGAAAAAGAAAGAGAGGAGAGGGAGGGAGCAAAAGAGAGAAAGGTGGGGGAGGAGAGAGAGACAGACGAGAGAACGAGGCGAGAGAGAGGGATGGAGGAAGAGAGAGGAACAGAGGAGAGAGACTGAGGAGAGAGAGAGGGATGGAGGAAGGGATGGAGGGGGGGAGAGAGAGAGGGAGGGAGGGGGAGAGACTGAGGAAAAAATAGAGAAAGAGAGGGTGGGAGGAAAGAGAATAGTGGAGGAGGAGAGAGAGAGAGGAGAGAGGGATGGAGGAAAAAGAGAGAGAGAGAGAAGAGAGAGAGGGGTGAGATGAGAGAGGGAGGAAAGAGAGGGGTGGAGGAAGAGAGAGGAACAGAGGAAAGAAAAGGGGGGTGATGAGGAAAGGAGAGAGAGAGATGAGAGAGGGAGGGGGAAAGGGATGGAGGGGGAGAGAGCGAGGAAAGAGAGAGATTGAGGGAGAGGGGGAGGAAAGAAAGAAAGAAAGAGGAGTGGAGGAAGAGAGAGTGACGAGAGAGAGAGCGAGAGAGAAGAGAGAGAGGACGGAAAGAGAGGGGTAATGAGGAGAGAGAGGGAGGAATGAAGGGAGAAAAAGGGAGAGGGAGGGATGAAGGGGGAGAGGAGAGATTGAGGAGAGAGGGAGAGGCGGAAGAGAGAGAGAGCGAGGGATAGAGGGGGATGAGGAGAAAGAGAGGAGAGAGAAGAGAGAGAGGAGAGAGGGATGGAGAGGGAGAGAGGGAGGAAAAAGAGCGAAAGGTGGGGGAGGAGAGAGAGACAGATGAGAGAACAAGGAGAGAGGGAGAGGGAGATGGAGGAAGAGAGGAGAGAGGAAGGGATGGAGGAGAGAGAGAGAGAGAGAGGGAGGGGGAGAGACTGAGGAAAAAATAGAGAAAGAGAGGGTGGGAGGAAAGAGAATAGTGGAGGAGGAGAGAGAGAGAGGAGAGAGGGATGGAAGAAAATGAGAGAGAGAGAGAGAAGAGAGAGGAAGGGGGGAAGGGTTTAACTCTAAAAATAGCATCACTACGTTTTCTATTGTCCAACACAAATGTAGAACGGAGGAGAGACAAAAGAAGAGAAGAGAAAGAGAAGGAGAGAATAAACAGAGGAGGAGAAGAGAGAGGGAGGAGGAGAGGAGGAGAAAAGAGGAGGAGAAAAGAGGAGGAGGAGAGTGAGTCAGAGGAGGTGAATATGACGAAACAAAATCCTGGAGGTTCCATTAAAATCACATTATGGATTTATTATTTTTATTTAAAGCTGCACTGTGTAACTTTTCTGCTCGTTTCTATGGAGACGTCATGGCTCTGTCCCTGAAATGTTCCGCAGTGTGACTTTAAACAGCTCTGATTTATTTTATTTATTCAAGTATAGGTGGTTTTACAGCTCAAAAAAAAAAAACAAAAAAAAAAACGAGACATTGTGAGTGTGAGCGGCGTCGCCTCTCCACAGATCTGACCTGGAACTCTGTCTGGTTCGGTCTCCGTGGAGATAGAAAGGTTTAATGCCGTACTGCGGAACATTCAGAAACAAAAAATACAAAAAAAAAAAAAAGGAAACAAATCTACTATAAACATGATCTAAGGTTAAGGTTTAGTTTTACTTTATTAATCTGTGTGTCGTTTGTTCGTTTTTCAAAATAAAACCAAAATGAAAAAACAGATAAAGATTTGTTTTTTCAGTTTTTGATTTTATATTTAAATGAGAAATGAAAAAAAAAAAAAAAAAAAAAAAAACGGATAACGTTTCCCGTTTACGTGATGGTGAACCAGGACTGAGACCGGGACCAGACCAGAGCTAAGACCAGTTTAGTCCTGGTTCAGTCTTGGTTTAGTCCTGGTTTAGACCTGGTTCAGTCCTGGTTTAATCCTGGTTTAGTCCTGGTTTAATCCTGGTTTAGTCCTGGTTTAATCCTGGTTTAGTCCTGGTTTAGACCTGTTTTAGTCCTGTTTTAGTCCTGGTTCAGTCTCGGTTCAGTCCTGGTTCAGTCCTTGTTTAATCCTGGTTTAGTCCTGGTTCAGTCGTGTTTTAGTCCTGGTTTAGTCCTGGTTTAGTCCTGGTTCAGTCCTGGTTCAGTCCTGGTTTAGTCCTGGTTTAGTCCTGGTTCAGTCCTGGTTTAGTCCTGGTTCAGTCTCGGTTCAGTCCTGGTTTAGTCCTGGTTTAGTCCTGGTTCAGTCTGGTTTAGTCCTGGTTCAGTCCTGGTTTAGTCCTGGTTTAGTCCTGGTTCAGTCCTGGTTTCAGTCTGTTTAGTCCTGTTTCAGTCTGGTTCCTGGTTTAGTCCTGTTTAGTCCTGGTTTAGTCCTGGTTCAGTCTGGTTAGTCCTGGTTAGTCCTGGTTAATCCTGGTTTAGTCCTGGTTCAGTCGTGTTTTAGTCCTGGTTAGTCCTGGTTTAGTCCTGGTTCAGTCCTGGTTCAGTCCTGGTTTAGTCCTGGTTTAGTCCTGGTTCAGTCCTGGTTTAGTCCTGGTTCAGTCTCGGTTCAGTCCTGGTTTAGTCCTGGTTTAGTCCTGGTTCAGTCTTGTTTTAGTCCTGGTTTAGTCCTGGTTCAGTCCTGGTTCAGTCCTGGTTCAGTCCTGGTTTAGTCCTGGTTTAGTCCTGTTTAGTCCTGGTTCAGTCCTGGTTTAATCCTGGTTTAGTCCTTGTTTAATCCTGGTTTAGTCCTGGTTCAGTCGTGTTTTAGTCCTGGTTTAGTCCTGGTTTAGTAGTCCTGGTTCAGTCCTGGTTCAGTCCCTGGTTTAGTCCTGGTTTAGTCCTGGTTCAGTCCTGGGTTTAAGTCCTGGTTCAGTCCTGGTTTAGTCCTGGTTTAGTCCTGGTTTGTCCTGGTTTCAGTCCTGTTTAGTCCTGGTTCAGTCCTGGTTTAGTCCTGGTTTAGTCCTGTTCTGGTTCAGTCCTGGTTCAGTCCTGGTTAGTCCTGGTTCAGTCCTGGTTTAGTCCTGGTTAGTCCTGGTTCAGTCTTGGTTTAGTCCTGGTTCAGTCCTGGTTTAATCCTGGTTTAGTCTTGGTTTAGTCCTGGTTTAGTCTTGGTTTAGTCCTGGTTCAGTCGTGTTTTAGTCCTGGTTTAGTCCTGGTTTAGTCCTGGTTCAGTCCTGGTTCAGTCCTGGTTTAGTCCTGGTTTAGTCCTGGTTCAGTCTTGGTTTAGTCCTGGTTTTTAGTCTGGTGTTTAGTCCTGGTTCAGTCTGGTTCTGTGGTTTAGTCCTGGTTTAGTCCTGGTTCAGTCCTGGTTTAGTCCTGGTTTAGTCCTGGTTTAGTCCTGGTTTAGTCCTGGTTAGTCTCTCGGTCTGGTTTAGTCCTGGTTCAGTCTGGTTTAGTCCTGTTCAGTCCTGGTTAGTCCTGGTTTAGTCAGTCTGGTTTAGTCCTGGTTAGTCTGTTAGTCTGGTTTAGTCCTGGTTTAGTCCTGGTTCAGTCCTGGTTTAGTCCTGGTCTAGTCCTGGTTCAGTCCTGGTTCAGTCTTGGTTTAGTCTTGGTTCAGTCTTGGTTCAGTCCTGTTTTAGTCCTGTTTTAGTCCTGGTTTAGTCCTGGTTTTAGTCCTGTTTTAGTCCTGATTTGGTTTGAATCGTAGTAAATTCAGTTTGTGTAGTTTGAGTTTTTATTTATTAGAAATAAAAACTGATTTAGGGACAAAATTGTGAAAAAATAAAAAGCCCAGGATCAATAAGGAGAGAAATGGATGGATGAGGAGAAAGGAGAGAAAGAAAGAGAGTGAGATTTAAAAATACAGACGAAGAGAGAGATGGAGGAGACTTTTATGATCCGTACGTTTTTTGGTTTTTTTTTATTCTACATGTGACATAAATCGAAGGCGTTAAAGGGGCGGTGTGTGATGTCATCGTCCTCCCGCGGACTCGCCCCTTTAATTAAATGTGTCTGCTCGTAGATAATGACATTGTGTTTTTACGGTGCGGACGTCTGAGCGGAGACCGGACGCCGGGACCGGACGCCCTCCGCTCGCTCTGACTCACACGACCGACGCGAGAACACGCGCAGAGACGAGGGGGCGGGGTCGGGAGGGGGTGGGGTCAGGAGGAGGCGGAGTCACGTGTGGGTTGGATAGAACTGGACAATTAATACAGTTTTATTAATGGTCAGTGAACAGATTTATAGCAGTAGTAGTAGTAGAAGTAATAGTAGTACTAGAAGAAGTAGTAAAAGTAGAACTAGTAGTAGTAGCAGTAGTAATAGTAGTAGTAGTAGTAGTATTAGTGATAGTAGCAGTAGTAGTAGAAGTAGTAGTAGTTGCTATAGAATTAGTAGTAGTAGTAACAGTAGTAGCAGTAGTAGTAGTAATTGTAGTACTAGAAGAAGTAGTAGAAGTAGAAGTAGTAGTAGTAGCAGTAGTAATAGTAGTAGTAGGAGTAGTAGTAGTAGTGTAGTAGTAGTAGTAGTAGTAGTAACAGTAGTAGTAGTAGTAGTAGTAGTAGTAGTAGGAGGGGTGAGCGTATGGGAGCATGTAGGTGATGTAGGCTTGTGGGCGGAGCCTTATACAGGGTGCAGGAGAGATCACTAGATTACTCAAACATGCATGGAAGACTCTTAAAGCTCTTGGGGCAGGTTTTTGATGAGGAGATACAGTTGTGTGAGTCGTGGTGTTGTTACGGTGACAGTGAGTGTGGGCGTGTCCTTCAGATCACAGCCTCCTCGTCCTCCTCCTCGTCCTTCTCCTCGTCCTCGTCTCCTCGTCTCCTCCTCCTTCGTCTCTCGTCCTCTCCTCCTCTCCTGTCCTCCTCCTCGTCCTCCTCGTCCTCCTCCTCCTCCGTCCTCGTCCTCGTCCTCCTCCTCCTCCTCCCTCCTCGTCCTCCTCGTCCTCCTCGTCCTCCTCGTCCTCGTCTCCTGTCCTCCTCTCCTCCTCCCTCGTCCTCCTCGTCCTCCTCGTCTCCTCCTCGTCCTCCTCCTCGTCTCCTCCTCGCCTCCTCCTCGTCTCCTCGTCCTCCTCCTGTCCTCCTCCTCCTCGTCCTCCTCCTCTCGTCCTCCTCCTCGTCCTCCTCCTCCTCCTCGTCCTCCTCGTCCTCCTCCTCCTCCTCCTCCTCGTCCTCCTCGTCCTCTCTCCTCGTCCTCTCGTCCTCCCTCCTCGTCTCCTTGTCCTCGTCCTCCCTCGCCTCCTCCTCCTCTTGTCTCCTCCTCGCCCTCGTCCTCCTCGTCCTCTCCTCTCCTCCTCGTCCTCGTCCTCCTCCTCGTCCTCCTCCTCCTCGTCCTCCTCGTCCTCCTCCTCGTCCTCCTCGTCCTCCTCCTCCTCGTCCTCCTCGTCCTCCTCGTCCTCCTCCTCCTCGTCCTCCTCGTCCTCGTCCTCCTTGTCCTCCTCTCCTCGTCTCCTCCTCGTCCTCCTCGTCCTCCTCTCTCCTCGTCCTCGTCCTCCTCCTCGTCCTCCTCCTCCTCCTCGTCCTCCTCTCCTCCTCCTCCTCCTCTCCTCCTCTCGTCCTCCTCCTCCTCCTCCTCCTCGTCCTCCTCCCTCTCGTCCTCCTCCTCCTCCCTCGTCCTCCTCGTCCTCCTCTCTCCTCCTCCTCCTCGTCTCCTCCTCCTCCTCCTCGTCCTCCTCGTCCTCCTCGTCCTCGTCCTCCTCGTCCTCCTCGTCCTCCTCCTCCTCGTCCTCCTCCTCGTCCTCCTCCTCGTCCTCCTCGTCCTCGTCTCTCTCCTCGTCCTCCTCGTCGTCTCCTCCTCGTCGTCCTCGTCCTCCCTCCTCCTCCTCCTCCTCCTCGTCCTCCTCCTCCTCCTCCTCGTCGTCCTCGTCCTCCTCGTCCTCCTCGTCCTCGTCCTCCTCGTCCTCCTCCTCCTCCGTCCTCCGTCCTCCTCCTCCTCTCCTCGTCGTCCTCGTCTCCTCGTCCTTCGTCTCCTCGTCCTCCTCGTCCCTCCTCGTCCTCCTCTCCTCGTCTCGTCCTCGTCCTCCTCGTCCCTCGTCCTCCTCGTCCTCCTCGTCCTCCTCCTCGTCCTCGTCCTCCTCGTCCTCGTCCTCCTCCTCCTCTCCTCCGTCCTCGTCCTCCTCGTCCTCGTCTCGTCCTCGTCCTCCTCTCGTCCTCGTCTCCTCCTCGTCCTCCTCGTCCTCTCCTCCTCGTCCTCCTCGTCCTCCTCGTCCTCCTCCTCCACTCGTCCTCCTCGTCCTCCTGTCCTCGTCCTCCTCGTCGTCCTCGTCCTCCTCGTCCTCGTCCTCCTCGTCGTCCTCGTCTCCTCGTCCTCCTCGTCCTCCTCCTCCTCCTCCTCGTCCTCCTCGTCCTCCTCGTCCTCGTCCTCCTCCTCGTCCCTCGTCCTCGTCCTCCTCCTCGTCCTCGTCCTCGTCTCGTCCTCCTCCTCGTCTCCTCCCTCGTCGTCCTCGTCCTCCTCGTCCTCCTCGTCCTCCCGTCCTCCTCCTCGTCCTCTCCCTCGTCGTCTCGTCCTCCTCGTCCTCGTCCTCTCCTCGTCCTCCTGTCCTCCTCGTCCTCCTCCTTCCTCGTGTCTCCTCGTCCTCCCTCCTCCTCCTCGTCCTCGTCCTTCCTCGTCGTCTCCCTCTACCTCCTCCTCCCTCGTCCTCCTCCTCTCGTCCTCCTCCTCCCTCGTCCTCCTCTCCTCCTCGTCCTCCTCCTCGTCCTCCTCCTCCTCGTCTCCCTCCCTCGTCGTCCTCTCCTCGTCTCCTCCACTCCTCGTCCTCCTCGTCCTCCCTCGTCCTCCTCGTCCTCCTCCTCCTCCTCCTCGTCCTCGTCCTCCTCGTCCTCCTCCTCCTCCTCGTCCTCCTCCGTCCTCCTCTCGTCGTCCTCCTCGTCCTCCCTCGTCCTCGTCCTCCTCGTCCTCGTCCTCCTCCTCGTCCTCCTCCCTCGTCCTCGTCGTCCTCGTCTCCTCGTCCTCCTCCTCGTCCTCGTCCTCCTCCTCGTCGTCCTCGTCCTCGTCCTCCTCGTCCTCCTCCCTCGTCCTCGTCCTCCGTCCTCGTCCTCCTCCTCCTCCTCCCTCGTCCTCCTCGTCGTCCTCCTCCTCGTCTCCTCGTCCTCCTCCTCCTCGTCCTCGTCCTCGTCCTCCTCGTCCTCTCCTCCTGTCCTCGTCCTCCGTCCTCCTCGTCCTCGTCCTCTCGTCCTCGTCCTCCTCGTCCTCCTCCTCCTCGTCCTCCTCGTCTCCTCCGTCCTCCTCGTCCTCCTCGTCCTCCTCGTCCTCCCTCCTCGTCGTCCTCGTCCTCCTCCTCCTCCTCCTCGTCCTCCTCGTCCTCCTCGTCCTCCTCGTCTCCTCGTCCTCCCCGTCCTCCTCGTCCTCCTCCTCCTCGTCCTCCTCGTCCTCCTCGTCCTCGTCCTCGTCCTCTCCGTCGTCCTCGTCCTCCTCGTCCTCGTCCCAGTGTAAACACCACAGACTCTGAACACGTGACCCACTGAACTCGACTCTGTGTGGACGAAGAAACGTTCAGATGTACAAGAGCAAAAAATAAATCTGAATAAACTCTGAATATGAGTCCAGTCGTACATAATACGACACGACTCGACTGTCAAAAATACCACTTCCGGTCACTGGTTTAGACCTGGTTTAGTCCTGGTTTAGACCCACTTTAGTCCTGGTTTAGTCCTGCTTTAGTTCTGGTTTATTTCTGGTTTAGTCCTGGTTTGGTCCTGGTTTAGTTTTGGTTTAATTTTGGTTTAGTCCTGGTTTAGTCTTGGTTTAGTCCTTGTTCAGTCCTGGTTCAGTTCTGGTTCAGTCCTGGTTTAGTCTTTCTGGTTCAGTCCTGGTTTAGACCTGGTTTAGTCCTGGTTTCTTTCTGGTTTAGTCCTGTTTTAGTCTTGTTTTAGTCCTGGTTTAGTCCTTCTGGTTTAGTCCTGTTTTAGTCTGTTTTAGTCTTGTTTTAGTCCTGTTTTAGACCTGTTTTAGTCCTGTTTTAGTCCTGTTTAGTCCTTTTAGTTTTAGTCCTGTTTTAGACCTGTTTTAGTCCTGTTTTAGTCCTGTTTTAGTCCTGTTTTAGACCTGTTTTAGTCCTGGTTCAGTCCTGTTTTAGTCCTGTTTTAGACCTGTTTTAGTCTTGTTTTAGTCCTGTTTTAGTCCTGGTTTAGTCCTGGTTCAGTCCTGTTTTAGTCTTGTTTTAGTCCTTTTTTAGTCCTGTTTTAGACCTGGTTTAGTCTTGTTTTAGTCCTGTTTTAGACCTGTTTTAGTCCTAGTTCAGTCCTGGTTCAGTCCTGGTTCAGTCCTGGTTCAGTCCTGGTTTAGTCCTGGTTTAGTCCTGGTTTAGTCCTGGTTTCAGTCCTGGTTTAGTCCTGGTTCAGTCCTGGTTCAGTCCTGGTTCAGTCCTGGTTCAGTCCTGGTTTAGTCCTGGTTCAGTCCTGGTTCAGTCCTGGTTCAGTCCTGGTTCAGTCCTGGTTCAGTCCTGGTTCAGTCCTGGTTCAGTCCTGGTTCAGTCCTGGTTTAGTCCTGGTTCAGTCCTGGTTCAGTCCTGGTTCAGTCCTGGTTTAGTCCTGGTTTAGTCCTGGTTCAGTCCTGGTTTAGTCCTGGTTTAGTCCTGGTTCAGTCCTGGTTCAGTCCTGGTTTAGTCCTGGTTTAGTCCTGGTTCAGTCCTGGTTTCAGTCCTGGTTCAGTCCTGGTTTAGTCCTGGTTCAGTCCTGGTTTAGTCCTGGTTCAGTCCTGGTTTAGTCCTGGTTCAGTAGAGTCATAAATCTGCAGGTTTGTGAGTTAAACTTTGTAAATGAAACAAACACAAATCCAGTTCTTGTTTGTGTTGATGAAACTTTACAACTTTAAAGTCGCACTCTGTAACTTTCCACGTAGAGGACCGTCTCCATGGAGATGTTTGAGCGCTCGGGCCGCCGCCGCCGCCCGGACACTTCACTTCACTTCACTTGACGAGGACCAGATCCATTTTTAATAAGTCACATGATCCGGGAGGGAAGGCGACACCGCGGACGAGCAGTGATCAACGCCGCCGCCGCCGCCGCAGCACTTCCTGTCGGGAGTCAGGGCGTTGCCATGGCGACCGCGGCAGACCAGTGTGTCAGTGGAACATCCGGACAACGTTCCTCCACAAACAACAACAACAAAATATAACCAGTCTCATTTACCGCGTTTACATGAGAGCTTTAATTCAGAATAAAAATAATTTAATTCAGAATAAAAATAATTTAATTCAGAATAAAAATAATTTAATTCAGAATAAAAATAATTTAATTCAGAATAAAAATAATTTAATTCAGAATAAAAATAATTTAATTCAGAATAAAAATTAATTCTGCTTTTAAAAGACCTCGTTTATCGCGGGGGTTTCGTTCTAAAAATAACCCGCAATAGGTGAAATCCACGAAGTCGTCATCCCATTTTTGGAGTCCTGCACCCGCGCAGTACAGGACCACACCTGCCCGCACCTGCCCGCACACCGCCTGCACCCGCCTGCACCCGCCCACACCCCGCCTGCACCCGCCTGCACCTGCCTGCACCTGCCCGCACCCGCCCGCACCCAAATGTTACCCCGAGATTATATCAAACTTTTGCGTTGCGTACGCCACGGAGTGAACTAAGACTAAACCAAGACTAACCCAGGACGGATTCTAGGACTGAAGAGGAGGACTAAACCAGGACTAAACTAGGACTAAAACAGGACTAAACCAGGACTAAACTAGGACTAACCCAGGACGGATTCTAGGACTGAAGAGGAGGACTAAACCAGGACTAAACTAGGACTAAAAACAGGACTAAACCAGGACTAAACTAGGACTAACCCAGGACGGATTCTAGGACTGAAGAGAGATAAACAGGACTAAACTAGGACTAAACGGACTAAACCAGGACTAAACTAGGGACTAAACCAGGACTTCTAGGACTGAAGAGGAGGACTAAAACCAGGACTAAACTAGGACTAAACCAGGACTAAACCAGGACTAAACCAGGACTAAACCAGGACTAAACCAGGACTAAACCAGGACTAAACCAGGACTCACTGTCAGGACGGGCTTGGAGGTGACTGCAGAAGAAAGGACCGGCTCAGCTTCATGCCTCACTCTTTGTGGACACCCTGCTCCGCGGGCTGGGGGGTTTCTCTCCTAAGTCCATGATTAGTCCTGGTTAATCCTGGTTTAGTCCTGAATCACTACCCGCCCGTAAAATTCCAGAACATTAAAACCCGCCCATTTCAGCAACTATGTGCAGGAAGCCGACCCGGTGCAGGAGTCTGTTACAGCTGTTTAACTTCTCTCTTCCTTCAGCGGGTCCAGAAGTCCAACTGTTTGTGTGATGGTTTCATCTTCCTCTGACTTTCGGGGGCGAGCGCAGGAGACTTTGCCGGTGCAGAACGTTTCGTCGACATTGTGGATTTCGTCGGGGAGAAAACGTACAAACATACAGCACTTCAGAATCACACTTAGGTCTGGGCGATATGGATCAAAAAATATATCTCGATATATTTTGCTGTATCTCGATATACGATATATATCTCCATATATGTTCAAGAAAAAATAACCCCCTAAAACTGAAAACTGCAAAAACAAATCTGTCAAATTCCACAAGGTCCTTTTTTTTAAATTGAAGTGTAAGAGGTCGACAGTTTAACATTTAAGATGACAAAAAACCCTAATTACATAAATAATAATTTAACTGTAAAATAAAAGAAATAAAACATATTTCCTTTGTTTCATTCATAAATAAAACAACTCAACACAAGTTCATCTTTGCATTAACTCTGTTCTCCAG